GAACCCCGAACCGGCTACTTTCTCTCTCCTCGGTTCCAGCTTCGCCACGTCAGCATCTCCCGTGGTAGTCGAGAAAATCAGGCCGTACCCGAGAAAAGCCGAGAAAACGGTATTCTCAACGATCAAAGAGCTAACTCTCACGTCAGGCCCAGGCCCAGGCCCATTGGGCCGACAATGCGATGTCCGGCACAATTCGCCGGCGATGGTGTTCAGCGCCGGAGGGTACACCGGGAACCTGTTTCACGACTTTATCGACGGCCTCGTTCCGCTATTCATCACCGTGAACTCGGTTTTCCCGGACCGGGATTTCGTCCCGGTCGTACCGGATGCTCGGAATTGGTGGGTTTCCAAGTACTCGCAAGTTCTAGAAGCTTTCACCAATCACAGAATCATATCCTTCGAGAACGAGACTTCAACCCATTGTTTCACTTCAGCCCACGTGGGTGTAATCTCGCATGGGGTGATGACCATTGACCCAGCCCAAATACCCAATTCAAGATCCTTCGTTGACTTCCACAATTTACTGGACAAGGCCTTTACTCACGGCCCAATTCAAAGCCCAGCCCATTTATCATCCCCCCGGAAACCTCGTCTTGTCCTGGTGAGCAGATATGGCAAAGTGGGTCGTGTCATAACGAACGAGAAGAAGGTAAAAAGAATGATCGAAGACATTGGATTCGAGGTAATCAGGTTCAGACCGACCAAGAAGACGTCGTTGCCGGAAGCATATAAGCTGATAAAGTCGAGCCACGCCATGCTGGGGGTTCACGGCGCGGCCCTGACCCACTCGTTGTTCCTTAGACCCGGTTCGGTATTGGTGCAGGTGGTTCCCGTGGGGTTGGACTGGATGGCCAAAGTCTGTTTCGAGAAATCGGCCAAGGCGATGGGGTTGGAGTATTTGGAATATAGAATAGATGTCGAAGAGAGCACGTTGAAGGACAAGTATGGTAAAGAAGATATGGTCTTGAAAGATCCAGTGGCTTTTCGAGGGTCGGAATGGAATTTCACAAAGATGAATGTGTATTTGAAGGAACAAAACTTGAGGCTTGATAGAGTTCGGTTAAGGAATTTTATGATCCAAGCTTATAACAAGGCTAAGGAGTTCATGCACGTGCATGGCTGATCTAATCTCTGTCCTTCTTTTTCTTTGTTTCTTAATATATATTTTTTTGTGATTGTTATATATTATTATTTAGTTTACAAGTTATCTTTTGGTTTGCAGTTAATTTAGAAATTAAATGCTTGACTTTAAGCTGTTTGTGCTTTTCCCTTACGCTTAATCGGGTAAAATGTAATTATCTTTACTTAAAATTAAAAAAAAAATAATCCGCTGATGTTTTAGCATTTGTAAATTACGTAAATGCCCTCGTTTAAGCATTTCTTCGATTTTTTTTGCCACCTGGAGAAATGGGAGCGCAGTCGCTTTTTCCACACACTGTTGTATTACAGCTTTGCTGCATATTCGCCTCTTCCTCTCTCGAGTCTTTCCTTCGCCACAGCGAGAGATAGAGACGGAGATGGAGAAGGCACTGACGAAGGTTACGAGCTTGAAGCTGGGAAGTTCGTGGATTACGAAGAAGGCAAAGGAAGAGCTCTCCAGCATCACCAACGATCTCACCGTGAGTACTTCAACCTGATCTTCTCTCGCTTCGCTTTTGATTGTCGTTGTTCTTCTGGGTTTTTGTTGTTTCGTTTCAAGTTGATGGATTCGGTCACAGATTATGCAATGTGGAAGGGTTTTGCGGTGTTTGAGGCGCAATTTTGTGTTAAATCTGGTAATGGGTATCTAGAATCGCTAGAAGAATCCGAGATCTGTAGAGATTCGAGATGGATTCAAGAGGTTAAATTGGAGATAGGTAAAAGGATTAGAAATACATAGTCTCATTCGAGCCGGATTTTTACAGCCGAATCTCGGAAGTCGGAAGGATATAATTTCATAATGTTCCCTAGTTTGATCTTTGATATCTGGGAATCCAACGTCTAGCTAGTTTTAGAGCCACAAGATCCATATTTGAAATGAAGGCACCACATGAAGAATAAGAATTTCAAATTCAGCCCAAGTGGGTCTCCATTTACTGAATTGAGTAATTTCTTTGTGTGAGAGGAGGAGACACTCTCAAGGGCTAGATGATTTTCGATTTAGGAGTTCAATTTGGTCCTGCGTATGAGAGGGAACGATATCTTCGCAATTGTTTGAGCTATCTATACATTTTTTGAGCCAGATGCTCTGCTCATAAACTCTTCGAGCTCTTACTGCCATTGCGGCTGGTGATCTATTGCCGAAAGTTGATATCTTTATGGAGAGACAGCAGTCCTACGAATCCTTTTCCTCGTTTTATCTGGTTAATTCAGTGATTAATTAACTTTGTTTATGTATTTCTGCCTCTTGTGTTCTTGGGATTGAATAATAATGTTGTAATGCTCCTCAATGCATTGCCATGTAACTTTGTTATTCGATACCAGATCAATTTGCAAGTTGCCCATATTGCTTATACAATGTTGGCTGTACCCTGATATAGTAACATTATGTTCATATTCCTTTTTCAGACTTTCTCCAGTACCGTCGAAGAGAAGGCGAAATGGGTTTTCAACAAGCTGAAAGGTACAAGATCATGTTCTTTCTTGATGGGCGATTGCATTATAGTCATCTGAACCTATAGGGAGATGCTTCATAGGTGGCCTGTAACCTATGGACTTGTCTGATTTTTTAGATCTTCATATTTGCGTCTGCTCTTCCACCTCTGCACACTGTTGCAACGATGCAAAAGAGAGATCACCCTTAGCTTTGAATCAGTAAAGCATTTAGCTGCATCGGCATTGCATTACGCTACATTTTCCTCTTTGCCCCCCACAGGAAAACCTCTAAAAAGCTTGCCGGATCTCCTCAGAGAACACAACCTACCACCTGGACTCTTTCCGCAGAACATAATCTGCTACGAGTTCGACGAGACGAAGAACAAACTCGTCGTCTACTTGTCCTGTCCATGTGAAGTCACTTTCGAGGATTCATCTGTAATAAGGTACGGGACCAGGGTGAAAGGAATCTTGCTAAGAGGCAAGCTTATGGGCGTGGAAGGAATGAAGACCAAAGCGTTAGTATGGGTCAAGATCACGACAGTTTCAGTGGAAAGCTACAAATCCGACAAGCTCTGGTTCACTGCCGGTGTCAAGAAGGCAAGATCTAAGGATGCTTATGACACGCCTCTTGTTGCTGTTAAAGTCCATGAGTTCTGAGTTCCAATTTTTTTTTTTTTGTATATAAGTGAGTCATCTCTTCTTTCTTGTTGTTTTTGGTACACCGATGATGAATGTGATTATAATTTTATTATTTTTAATTTAATCGTTGATCTTAATGCAAGAAAGAAACTTAAGAGGAATAGAATTCCTATTCGATGCCAAAAAATTATTGATTTTCCAAAAAAATTATATAATACTAAATAATTTATCAAAATTAAAAGAAATATTTTTTTAAAAATCACTTAATATTTGTCCAACATAGAAACATAATTGCTTGAAATAGTTGTGACCGAAATAAAAACATATAAATCTATTAGTTTTTTCTTAGAAGTGTCTTATTATTAATTTATCATAAGATATAAGTTGTTGTACTTTTGATATAGAATAAAAATAACTTGTAATTTAAAGAGATAAAGAGCTTTGTTTGCACGCGAATTAAAGGCGTTTTTTTTCGTGTTAATCCCCAAAAAACAGAGCGAATTATGACCGTACATCGCATTCCTAGATCCAACGGTCCAGAAAGAGAATCTTAATCCCAACCCAAACAACAAAAACCCTAGTCAGATGCCTATATATATAAAAGCCAAATCTCCCTCTCTCCCTTTTCTTTCTCGCATTCTTTAGCATCTTTGCTTTTGTTTTTCATTTCTCTTTGCCAATCTCTTTCCTCCGCTTCGAAGCTCTTGCGTTCTGCAACCATGTCGGACGAGGAGCACCACTTTGAGTCGAAGGCCGATGCCGGAGCTTCGAAGACTTACCCGCAACAAGCCGGAACCATCCGTAAGAACGGTTACATCGTCATCAAGGGACGTCCTTGCAAGGTTTGTTTTAATTCCTCCTCTCTGATCCTAGATCTGTGAATTTCCCTATTCTCATTATCGTGATTCGATCGGCGCCCGTTTGATTTCACTCGTTATTGTATCGTTCAATTCGTTATCTTGTGTTTTGACCCCTCTTATATTCCATTTTTTTTTTCTGATCTCAATTCGTTTGAATAGATCGACAATAGGATCTGTTACCTCAATTCTCCCTCGCTCGTGTAAAATTTCGTTAGAGTATCGTCTGTAGACCTTGATTAAGGCTATAAGTAGAACTTGATCAAGACTAAAAGTTTGCCTTCTTACGTAGTTCCCCAAAAAGGTCGATTATTTCGATATCACGCTCCCAAAAATGCGATAGTTTTGTTCTTCATGTTATCACCAATTCAGTCTTTTCACATTTGAATTGGAGCTTTACGGATTGGTGATAACTCGAAATTGTAGTCACTTTCGCTTACTATGAAGAAATTGGTAGTATATGACTGTTCTAAGTGTTGGATTTGAGCTGTGAGTAGGTGGCTTCGTGTTGTTTCTCCATTTTTGTTATTTGGCGACATTGTTGATGATGACATTGTTGTGTTAGGTTGTTGAGGTTTCAACCTCAAAGACAGGAAAGCACGGACATGCCAAGTGCCACTTTGTTGCCATTGATATCTTTAATGGCAAGAAGCTGGAAGATATTGTTCCCTCTTCCCACAACTGTGACGTATGTGTCTTCTTCTATTTAGTTTCAATTGTGAATCATTGTTCTATATCTGTTTTGTCAGTTGTTCTTTTGGATTCCATCTGAGAGATTCCCTGTTTTCTGAAATTGATCAGGTTCCCCACGTCAACCGTACCGATTACCAGCTGATTGACATCTCTGAGGATGGATTTGTATGCACTTGCTATGCTTTTTTGACGATGCCCATTATCTTCGTAAGCAAGTCGATAATCTGTTTTTAAAAATTTTAACTCATTCCCAGGTTAGCTTGCTGACTGATAATGGCAACACCAAGGATGACCTCAGGCTCCCAACCGATGAGAGTCTGCTCAATCAGGTTAGTGTTTTCCATCTCGTCACGTGATACTGTTACAGTCTCGAATTTACTTGGGTGGGTCGAATCTGTGAAGTAACAAAATGAATGTGGACATGGATGGACAGATCAAGTCAGGGTTCGAGGAAGGAAAGGATCTTGTGGTGTCTGTGATGTCGGCCATGGGAGAGGAGCAGATCTGTGGTCTCAAGGACATTGGTCCCAAGAACTAAACCCGACATGGTTTCTCATCGGAGGCATCAAGAGTCTTTACTCACTGTCTAATGAACATTTTATCTACGTGACCTTCCCTCTTCTTCTTTTTGTCTTTCGTTTTTTTTTCTTTGTTCCTTTAGGTCTCTCTCTCTCTCTCTGTTTCGGTCACTCTTTTTTTTTTTTTTGTTAACTATTTGGGGTTTGAAACTGTGTACCATTCGGCTTAAATCGTTTTTTTTTGTTTGGTGGTTTTCCTCATTTAATTTCATGCGGACTGTATATTTTTTTTCTTGACAACAAATAATATAATATCGAATTGAAAAGTCCAAATTATATAATATCGAATTAGAGTCTGGAACACGCAGCCCAGAGGCCTGCTATATCTAAGGCCCATAGAGCCCAATCTGATTTTCGCATTAGCCACGTGGCGTGATATTATTGGTAATACGTGTTGAGGACGAAACCCAAAAGGAGAAAGAAAAGTGTCCAACTGTTTGTTTTGGGGATGGGGGCGCTGTTGACTTTTTGGGAGTTCGTTTCTCATCGTTTAAGGGCCAAATTTGTAATTTCAGACACCGACACACAAAGGCTTTTACCAATCGGAACGCCGCGATTCAAGAGTTAACATTCTGAATTCCATGTAATTTATTTATAAATAGTTAAAAATACTTGGTTTGGTTATGAAATTGAATTTTAAGGCTTACTAGATCTATAAATTTGTAAATATGAATTCAAAAATTTTCGAAAGACACAAAAATCCCTTTGTTTTTGTATTAATGTTTTTTCCCCTTACCAAGTCACTTTGTTATAAATTTACAAGCCTTTTTTTTGTCGGAATATTAAAATAAAACTAAAAATGATATTAACCAGCTAAAAAAAAGGAAATGGGAGAGAGGGAGAGAGAGAGAGAGAGAGAGAGAGAGAGAGAGAGAGAGAGAGAGAGAGAGAGTCATTTTCCATACGTGCTGCGTGTACTTTGTTGTACCGCAAAGCTAAAGTTTTCATTTTTACAGATCCGGCTTCGGACACTTGAAAAGCCAGACACCTTCGTCAAATAAAAATACCTAAAAAGAAGCTTCCGACAAAGCGATACTGATACATACACAGATATATACAAAAAGGATAGAAAGAGCATCCAAAAAAAGGTTTTTTTGGGTGTTGGGTTGTTGGGTTTTAATCCATCTTTTGTTTCTGTCTCTTCGTTCGGGAAAGAACTGATGGCGGATAAGAAAGAACAACCGTCGACGTCGACACCGAAATCCTCCGCCGGAGCTCCGCCGCGTCCCACTATAACTCTGCCGCCGCGACCCTTCGGCGAAGTCTTCTTCAACGGTGGCATAGGGTTCAGCCCTGGCCCCATGACTCTTGTTTCCAACTTGTTCCCCAGTTCCAACGAGTACAAGTCCTTCTCTCAGCTCCTCGCTGGAGCCATGGCCTCTCCGGAGGCTGCTTCCGCGGCGGCGCAGCAGAGGCCTGGGAGCTCCGGAGACGGAGGTGGAGGCGGAGGGAATAGCTCCGGCGACATGGACCCGAGGTTCAAGCAGAACAGACCGACGGGGTTGATGATCACGCAGCCGCCGACAATGTTCACGGTGCCTCCGGGGCTAAGTCCGGCGACGCTTCTGGATTCGCCGAGCTTTCTTGGTCTCCTCTCGCCCATTCAGGTGACGTTTCTTTTTCCGATTGCTGATTCGTTGAACGAAATTAGGTTTCTTTGTTTGTTGTTGAAGTTCTATTTATGGCATAGTATCAAGGTTAGGACTTTCTGGCTTTCTCTGATGTGTTGTTTCGGGTTTTTCGGGTTTTCTTGGCTTATAGGTGTGTTTGGCTGCTGAGAAAAAACGGGTTGTGAACAAAACTAGCTAAAATCCCTGTCCGTTGGAGATAACGCCAAACCATGGATTCTTAACCATTTTGCAGGAAAATAGGAGCGAAAAGATTCAAATTTCACTCCTTTTAGGTCCTATACGGATCTCTATGTCGAATATCCATTCTTTGAGTTAGCAATTGCAGTTTGGTAAAGATTGGAGAGATCAGATATGGTATAGAAAATTGTGGATTTCCCTTTGGGCTTGGAAAAAACAGGCATTTGGGTTGTTGAGGTTTGAGCATAGAAAGCAAAATCTTTTGGATGAATGACAGAGTTGACATCAAAACTCGGTCTCCTTCCAGGTTCACTCGTGTCGAAATATCTTGGTCTTGTCTTGTGGATTTTGTCTGAGGGTGTTTTCTCAAAATGTTGGAGGTTTTGATATGTTTGATGTCAGAAGTGATGGATTTTTTTCCATCTCAAAACTGTTGCTTAAGACAAGTCATTGGATTGATGAGAAATGGTGTTCAATTAGGCTTACTCCTTGTGTGGCAAGCCATTTTTCTTTATCTGTCTCACCTTTCATGCTGTAAACACATTCAACCATGTGCTTGGCTTTTGTCTTCCTGTTCTGTAGTCTGATAATGTCGGTTAACATGTTCTAAACATATGGGGATTTTGTGCAGGGAACGTTCGGAATGTCTCACCAACAAGCTCTAGCTCAAGTCACTGCTCAGGCTGTTCAAGCCAATACCCATCTCCAAACCCAACCCGAATATCTTTCCATGGCTCCTCCAACATCGTTTGTCGAGCTTCCTTCAGTTTCCACAGCGGTTTCAGATTCCTCGTTAGCACAGAAGGAATCCTCTGAACTTTCCATTTCTGTCCAGGAACAGCGGTCACAGCTGGTAAATGTTGACAAGCCGGCTACCGATGGCTACAACTGGCGAAAGTATGGGCAGAAGCAAGTGAAGGGCAGCGAGTTTCCAAGGAGTTATTACAAGTGTACGAATCCCGGGTGTCCTGTCAAGAAAAAGGTCGAGAGGTCACTAGATGGACAAGCTACCGAAATTATCTACAAGGGTCAGCACAATCATCAACCTCCCCAAAACAACAAGAGGGGAAACAGGGATAGTTCAAATCCAAACGGGAGTTCTGATACGGCGTCACAGTTTCAAGCTAGCAGCTTTAACAAGACTAGGAGGGATCATGAAGCAAGTCAGGCTACGATGACAGATCAGATATCTGAGGCAAGTGACAGCGAGGAGGTCGGTAATGCACAAACTGGTGGGGAAGAAAGAGATGAAGACGAGCCCGATCCCAAAAGAAGGTAAACTTATAAGAGATGATTACCAAATCCATGGTATGCCCTCCATTTTTGAAGGTCAGTTTTCTGATGGGGGGGTATATTTGAATGTGCAGGAGCACTGAAATCAGGGTTTCTGAGCATGCTGCTTCACATAGAACAGTGACAGAACCTAGAATCATTGTCCAAACGAATAGCGAAGTTGACCTTTTAGACGACGGATATAGGTGGCGCAAATACGGGCAGAAAGTCGTCAAAGGAAATCCTTACCCAAGGTATCACATTTCACCCCGTGTGCTTTTGAATAAACGAGCTTGCTCATTGTTTTTTCGATGGGTAGGAGCTATTACAAGTGCACGACTCCGGGATGCAACGTGAGGAAACATGTGGAAAGGGCAGCAACAGACGCGAAAGCTGTAATAACAACATACGAGGGAAAACACAACCACGACATTCAGTTAAGGCTCGAAAATTTACATGCCTCGGCCAACCTAAGTCACCAGCCGATTGCACGTCTAAGGCTGAAAGAAGAGCAAAGCTTGTGACTTTGGATCTTGAGGTTGAAAAAAGGGTAGAAAAGGCGAAAACTTTGATATGGGATGATGCCTTTTATGTGATATTTAGCTCTAGGGATATGGTTCTTGTTTGTGAATTCTTTTGTACACGGAAAACACAAGGGTCGTTTGTGTTTGTAATGGGAGAATTAGGTATATTTGGATTTGTAATTTTATACTCTTTTGGGTATATAACACAACATAGCCAATTTGTTTGGGGATAATTAATTTCTTTATAATTCCATGCATTCAAATTTAATTACGATCATTGAATTAATCACAGAAATAGATACTTGCGATTTTTTTTTTTTAAATCATAGTGGTTGTGTGTGTGTGAGATTTAAGTTAATTGGGGAGGGGTGCCAATTGAGTTTACGAGGACACAAATGAATTCTGTTTATGAATCGATTCCAAAATGAACTACATATTATATCTATCTAACGAGACAAATCAGATATTAAATTGAAAAAAATGGTTTTGATAAAAACAACATAAGATAAATTAATCGGATCTGCGCAAGAGGATATAAAATTACGAAAAAGTCCAAATAGCAAAAAGTCCCACATCGGCAAATCGTAGCACAAAATTCAACTTTATAAAGCTAACAACAAAACACTCTGTTCGCCGAGCTCAGCAACGTGGGCTTGTGACCCAAGTGGGGGCAACAAGGTAGTGTGAACATTGGATCGTGTCCTGTAGTCGGGTCCGGTCGGATCTTCACTGGCTCGCCCGGTCCAAGTAAGGAGTTGGGTGACGTGTTTCGGGCGAAAGCTCGGACCACGTGGCTCCTAGAGTGGAGGGCAATGCGTGAGGCTGGTTTCACAGAGCAGCGATCACCTCCCGCTCCTTGCAGTGGACGGATTGCGGGCCGGTTCCTGTCGGTCCCATCGTGGCTACATGGGCCGATTCCAATTGGACCACTACTTTTTTTTTTGTAATTAGAAAAAAAATATGGTTTACGTTTTTTTTTTCTTTGGGATGAAAACAACAAGCGTATGTCGTCATCCTGTTAGATATTCCGACCAACAAAAATATCCTTGAGCAGATATTTAATTTATCCTGACATATATATACCAAATATTACGTCATAAATAAATGTATAGTCAATAAGACAACCCAAATGATTATCATCTTATCCACTATGAAGTGGTGGTGAACACTGCCGGAGAAAAGAAATACAATATGGAAACTGCAGAAGAAGAAGAGTTCAGTGAATGGGAAGAGATCCAATACTCGCCGAGAAGCCACTCGACTGTTCAAAATGACCCAATTACCCCTCCGGACTCGCCGACCATGTGCTTGGCTTTTGTCTTCCTGTTCTGTAGTCTGATAATGTCGGTTAACATGTTCTAAACATATGGGGATTTTGTGCAGGGAACGTTCGGAATGTCTCACCAACAAGCTCTAGCTCAAGTCACTGCTCAGGCTGTTCAAGCCAATACCCATCTCCAAAACCAACCCGAATATCTTTCCATGGCTCCTCCAACATCGTTTGATGCCACCCAACCCCCCGCCGCAATCAAGATGTCTCCGCCGGCGAACGTGGGCCCGTCGGAAGTCCGTCGTTGCCGCGGAGAGTGGTTGAAGCCGCCAAGAAGGGTATGAAGGATTCGGGGCTCTTTCACGTCGTTGACAGAGTAATACGTAATTATGGGTCTAGAAGAAGGTCGTTTTGGTCATTTTCCCTCGGGGCCTTCTTGCTCGCGAGCTTGGCGTACGTTAGGCTCGTGAGATGGTGTGGACGAGTCCACGAAGATAAGCTGAATCGTTTGGTTCTTCTGCTCGAAGAGAAAGACCAGGTTCGTATATATATATATATATATATATATATATATATAT